AGAATTCCACCGTGTTGTTATATCTTGTACTAAATTATGCTTTACGTTAGGCACCTAATTTACACAATTTTCCAATGGACTTATAGGTATATGATTTGCGAAAGAATGATATTATCATCATATTTGCTTAGACAGAAGTATACCAGGGAGCAATTGTTCCCTCCTGCGAAAGAATAATTTAAATAATACAGCACTTGTATAACATACTGCCATGACGCTCATGTCTGTCCGCTACAACTGTCAAGAATTAACGCGATTGAAGAAGTGTAGTGACAGCGGGCCAATAGAGAACAGGGTGCGCGATCCTTGCCATATAATGCGATTTTGCGCGCCAATTTTCGTACGTGCGTTAATCAAGCCGAATAGTTTGGCCGAATATTCGGCTATTCGGCCACACTCCTGGCCGAATATTCGGTATTCGGCCTGAGGCCGAATATACTATTCGTTACATCACTAGTTTAAATATTTTCCTGGTTCATAGAGATTTTATTTCTTCTTATTTTATAAATGTTTAATAATTATTGAGAATAATACTGTTTGAAATAAGCGTGATTTATATTAATAAATCGTAGTTTATTAACGATATATTCACGAACATACATATAAATATCAACACAAAGACGAATGAAATTCATTTCAAAAAGCAAAAGATCGTAGAAATACAATATTTAATTATTCATTATAGAAATTAATTACACCAAGTTAAACGAAAATATAATTATTTAACAATTTTAAACATTTTCTATGAAGCAATATTAAAATAAAGTCTTATTAATAAAACATTAAATTCGAGAGAAAACAATGTTCTTGCCCTTATTTCCAGGTAAGATTACATTTTACATTAGCTGTCAATGTTAATTCACTTTTGAAAATTGAATCATAATAATACTGTAACTGAGAGTTACGCTAAAAATAGTTACGAACAGATTGCTATCCACGTAAAACAAACCCCAACCAGAAAATTTCGGCAAGTCTTGAACGGCTCTCATATAAAATCGAAAAGATTCCTCTTGCAGAGACTTGTCATTGCTGTCAACAGATGCCTTGTAAATGACATTTAGTAGATTTTTGGCTGCTTTGGTTATATTACAAGAAGAAAAACAAACTTCAGAAAATAAATAAAACTGAAAAACAGTAAATCCAATAAAATGTGTAATGTAAAGTGATGAAGAATAATACATAATATCATTAAGAAGTAAACCTAAAGTGAAAATAATATTGCAACTCACTAACATTGCCCATAAAAATAATATAGGAGAATAAATTGATTGTATATTATTTATTATATCTACTAATTTGGTATACTTATTCATTGCTAAATTAATAATTTCTTTCTCGTCCTTGTGATTAAGTATTGTCATATTTATAAACTTAAAAGACTTTTCGATCTCTTTGCATATCGAAGAAAAGAAAAGTAACAGAAAATCATTTTGTATAATTATGAAAAAGAAACAAGAACATACAATAAGACACAAAATTATATTATCCACATTATAATTAATAAGTGAAATGTGCGTATCAATCGACGTAAACACCATTTCGTAACGATAAAAATAGCAAATTCCGAATAGAATCAAATTATTCATCCATATTAAAATACATTTTAACAGAAGTAATCTTTTCCCATTTTTTCTTTCAATCTGCACAGTTTCATAGATATTTTCTATTTCATTTAATATTCTATGCTTTGTAATATGAAAATGATACAAGAATAATAAAAGAATCGAAAAACCGACAGATTGGAACACGTATATAAAACTATTGATTGTAAATGATTTATCTTTTGATATTTTTAAAAACGAATGGTAAATAATAAAAATAGGGAAGATTTTAGCCCCTATCAGCGTGAATATGGCATTCGGAGAAAATCGCTTTTCAAATTTTAGCCCAAGTATGGCCATTGATATTATTAAAGGTCTGTACTCATTCTGAAAGGTTGTTCGTTTGTTAGAACTCTTTCCAAATTCTTTTCCACTTGGAACAATTCCGACGTAATTCATTATTCTATTTATTTAATTAGCTTTTAGTTAACTGTAACGAGACAAAAAATTAATAACAATTGTAAAAGTTTCAAATTATAAATATTACATTGAATTCTAAAAAAGGTAATTAAATAACATATATATGTTACAGCCAAAATGTCCGACTAAATCGAGAACAGGTATTATCTTATTAATCATTATTTATATAAAAATGTTCATATTAAAATATATTTCTATACTTATACGAATTAAAGAAGCAACCTACAGTACACGCATCTTGAATATCATGCAACGAATCATAGATATAAATTAACTGTTAAATATTCTAATGGAATATTCTATCTCCTCTCAATATAATTAAGGAAAAAGCCTGAAAATCAGTGGTTATTACTAGTTTATAAAATCTTGTATAAGTAATAATCAAAACTATTGTTTATTAACTAATAACCCGCATTTCACTTTTAAAAAATTACTGTATTTTAATAATTATCTTTTCAGCTAACTTCCTGAAAAGTTTACTTAATATAACAATATTTATTTTAAACAAAAATGGAAATAGTTTTTAACAAAATGATAAATGAAATTTATTAATATTAATTTTATAACTCACCAGAACCAAGAAGCCATTCAAATCTCAAAGTACTTCGACGAAAATTTCAGCTTTTCGCTTGCGTAATGGAGGAAAAAATGAATTGATCGAATAAGTAAACTTAATTTATTGAAAGTCCTCGTAGAAATATAAAAAAACGGGTGTCAACATGTTTGCAAATACTTTTTCGAATACAAAATAAAATCTAATATAAATATCATTATACGCTGATAGGAAAGAAAGTTGACTTTACCAAAAAAGAATATTAAAAAGTGAAGTTGAGATAAATATTCTTAACGACTGTTTTTATTTCACGATAAAATAATAATTTATGACCTCACACTATCGATAAGTCTATTTTATTCAGTACTGTATACATTATACAATTGTTTGTCAATAAGGGTTTCAAGTTTCCATCACTCTTCTATTGTGTTAAAATGCAAATTATTATTGTATTTATATACAGTGTTATCGATGTTTATAAAATTTCTTTTACGTACCATGATACAATTATCTTCATTTTGCTCTTTTATAAAGTTACATTAAAACCAACCTTCATTTTAATTATATCCTGTAGATTATTATCTGCATTCATTATTATTATAAAAATTATTAAAATTAAGAGTGTATGTCAAGGTATGTATAAAGTAAGAGCTTTATTGAATGATAATAATAATAGTTTATGGGAAATAAGTAAATTGAAAGTTGGTTTTAAATGTAATTTCATAGTAAATGATCGTGAAAGCCGTACATTATGGTATGTAAATACTGCATATATTGTATATAAATGTAATAATTATACTTATTTTGCTATTTATACATTTTATGCATATTTATGCAGTACATTAAAACCGTTTACGTTGAATTAAATGAAATGATACAGTGAATTATTTCGACAATTAACAAATTATCATTTACACGGTTAACAATACTAAGAATTACCCGTTTATTGACGTAACAATTTCTCTTTTATTTGTTTTCAATTATTTTTTTAACAAATATACATTGATAAAAATGGATAATATTATCTCGAGTAAGTTTCATACGGACGTCCTGGATAAATGTGGATTCCACATTGAAGGGAGTCTTGGAAAAGGATCTTTCGGCTTCATTAAAAAATTGCGCTGTGTGAAAACTGGTTGTCACTTAGCAGTTAAAATTTTACATAAATTCGACAAAACCAATCCGAAGAACGAGATAGACAGATTTATAATTCGAGAACTGGCCGTAGTCCGTATTCTTAGTCATCCGAACATCATCAAGTTCATAAAGACTATCGAAACAAGCAAACAGTAAGTTAATCTGATGAGAAATTCGATTAAATTTATAAATATGTATGGTATATACTTTATTTCATTATATTAAATAATTATTTATATTAAAAATTTCTTTTATATCCAAAACAATGTCGACTTATTAATTACGATCATTCGGTATACACTGATCAAGGAAAACATTATGACTACTAAGGTGTAATGAGTGATAGGATAATGACAGTTTCCATTTCAACGTGTAAATGTCAACTTTTATAAGCAAGAAGCGGTCATGATGTACCATCAATGTGTGTAGTTAAACTGAAATGTTCATTGGCAAGACTTTAAGAGAGTTTGACAAAAAACAAATTGTTTAGCAAGGCAGAATAAGTATCTTCGATGAGAGACTGGTGGGGTGTTTCAGTGAAGTCGTGGTGAGACATGCCGGGTGGGATTGTCTGAAAAGGGAAAAAGAAAGTCTAGTCCAACAAATTCACAGATTAAATCAGATGTAGATCGTTTTCTAGGAGAATATCTGGCACTTGTGTGCTCTATTGGATGAAATCAAGCCGGTGGAGTGGTGTAGCCCGGGGGTGTTCTGTCGGGAAGCCACGGGTTCCAGCATTCCTATGGATCACATTTTTGACAAGATACACCTACTTAAATATTGTTGCAAACAACATGCTCTTTTATAAGCAAGACATTCTCTGATGGTGGGTTGAGGAATATAACCAGGAGTTCGGCGTGTTGTCTTAACCACAAAATTTGCCAGATCTCAATCGCATTGAGCATCACCAGGAATTGAAAAACCTATTTGTAGATGCATGCATGGTTCCAGATACCAGAAAACGCAAGTCTCATTGAATCCATCCTCGGAGCTACTTCAACAGCACGTAGTACAATAACAGCATTTTATGCACCGGTCATAACGTTTTACTTTTGATCAGAGTATAAACAGTAATTAAAATGACTTTTCTGATGTTTATTTATTTTATTCTCAGCCTATATATAATCATGGAGTTAGCACAACATGGAGACCTGTTAGAGATGATTAAGAGAAGTAAAACTATAGACGAAGAGAGAGCTTGTCGTTGGTTTCATCATTTAGTAGACGGCATCGACTACTGCCATAATAAGGTAATTACGTAAAATGAAATAATAATGTAATATAATACTTTGTAATGTGTAAAAATTCACTATTGGCTACATAAGAATATTCATAATCTTTTCATTACACATAATTTTCCTATTGTTAGAAGTTATTAATTCTTGTACTTTCATAATTAGGGAGTTGCCCACAGAGATTTAAAGTGCGAAAATCTTTTAATATGCAAATACTTCGTACTTAAAATAACGGATTTTGGATTTGCTCGTCACGAATTACCTAAACCAGAAATTATAAAACATAAAGAAATTTTTCGATGCAGCACATTTTGCGGAAGTTTTGCATACGCTAGTATCGAAATTTTACGAAAGAAACCATATCAAGCATTTCTATCGGATATATGGAGCATGGGTATCATTCTTTACGTAATGGTTTGCGGACGTTTTCCTTACCATACTTCGGATCCTAGAAAGTACAGAGAGAAAATTAAAGACGGAGTTAAATTTCCAGAAAATTCAACGATTTCGAGTTGTTGTAGAGACCTTATTACGAAAATGATAAAACCAGAGAATAAAAGAATTTACATACCGGAAATTCGAGCGGACAATTGGTATCAAAGAGAATACGACCAAAAATGGGATGAAGAAGTACAAAAAGCCAGACGAATTTCTTACTACGACAAAATACAGATGCAAAAGTCAGAAGATAAATGCGAAAACTCTAAATGATTAAATCAATTTTCATAAAATATACAAAATTATATTTGATGTGATAAACTGACTTTTTCCTATTTTTTTAATGTATGTTGATTAGTTCAAATTACGTCACTCAAGAATAGAAATTCTTATTTTCAAATATATTATTTCTGTTATTGCATAAAATATTTGGTAATAATCAAAGTGGAACTGTTATGAAACAATATTAATAAATAAATATCGATTTCTCGTCAAGAAGTTATACAGAGAGATTTATGAAAATAGTTCAAAAAGTTATTATATTAATTCCGGGCGAGTGATCCAAGGAATTTTCAAGCGATCATCCCTGATATGTCGGGTCCCTTTTCAATCTATCCGGTAGCTCCTGTTGTGAACGTAGAAAAAAATTGTTCTCTTAGCGCCCACAGACGAAAAACACTAAAAATAAAAAGTGAAGCAACCTAAAAACATGCCGCACCACTGGCCAAGTGGTTCCGTTTCCCGAACACTGGGAAGTTCGCGCATCATCTGGACGGGCTGGCCACGTGGAGTTTTCCGGATTTTCTCAACGTTTGTAACGTCTGAATAGGCCAGTTACCCTTTAAAGACCTCCCAGAAGGCGTTATTTTCTGTGTAATGACCATCATAAACGCACACTACTACTATTATGTAACAATTACGTTACACTTTACACAGGGCGATATAGCCTAGAAGCTCATGCCCATCTAGTCAAGACCTAAAAACAATCAATAAAAATATATTCATAAATATGTTTAAGCAGTTAATATTAATATAAAATGTTAGTACTTTTTTAATTTCAATACATCTGTCACCAAATCGACACATAATTTAATTCTTAACACAATAAATTTTTGTAATGGGACTAGCCTGAATATATGGGATTACTTGCAGGTATTAATTAATGAAGATGCAATGGGTAAAATTTGTTGTGTTGAAACTTGTGAAAAATATAGTTCTATTAATAAAGGACTAGTGAAAAGATAATAATATTCATTGACAAAAAGTTAAGCATCAAGATAAAATCGTTCGATTAATGAAAAATTGGCATACAGTTAAGTCTCGTAGAGGCATGTAAATAATTATAATTATGGTAAAGGATCGAGTCCGAAATATTCGGGGCTAATCCCGTATAAAAATTCCTGGAATTGTCTTTCCGAATTCGATTTCGTGTTTCCTACAGCGATAAACCGAGTATTCATCGGTTTAAGACCATGTGGCCGTCCATAATACATTAATTTTTCATTATGCAGTAGAAAAAACCGGTAATTTTATATTATTATTA